TGGTCTCTCTGAACAGGCAGGTTTAGGCACTACAGGCATACTTCGAACATACTGACGGTGTGCTCAAGTGGCCGTGATTATTTATATGGTCTCCATCACTAGGACACGCAAATAGGAGCGTCCCCTGTAATGCAGGAGAATTCCAAATTCCAGGGGCTTTATTATCCCCCTGTCCCAACACGAGCCCTGACCGCAATCCTAATTTAGTCAGTAACCTTATACATAACCCCAACCTTCACCTTAATCGTTAAATTTAATGCAAAGACGCTTGTATACAAGAAGCTCTTATTCCCATTTCCTTCCGTGAAGCGAGGAAGATTGATATAATTAATCCTCACAACGTTTTACATTCCCGAATTATGTTGAACCCTATCCGCCGGTGTGTATGGTTTCCAAACTAGAAGCTACAATATAAGAAAAAATCACACATTCTGTAGTGCTATTAAGGGGTTTCCATATATTATCTTAAGGATTTGCAATAGACAACGCCCACGTTACATGCTTGGAAGGCAGAATTACGAAAGGCGCGGATGCGATGCTGCTTGGATAAGTATTTCACGTTCATAAAGAGGGCTTCGAATCACAAACCTGTCTGAATCTGGAAGCTTCCCTCCCTCTATTTTCTGTTAAATGAGTACAAGAAAGGATGCTTTTTACATGTCCTATATGATGTATGCCTGCATTTATGAGAGCATAGAAAACTGATGAAAAACGTTTCGTGTTACTAAAATTGCTACCGAGCATGATCTTTTTTAGTAGGCCAGAAAGAGGCGCATTCAAATGCCAAGACTGCCAACAAAGACCAGGAATGGCTATTTCTAGTTCAATAGCCGTCCTCAGCCAGTCATACCATATCCCAGGTGGCGTACCACCCCAGGCTCGACATCGCTAGTCGAGGCCCGATGAATAATGAGGCCGAAATTTTCATTTCTCTCTGCCTTGTATTTGTCGGCAATGTTCACCTTCCTATAAAATCAGCCCCTGGACGGCTGCTGGCGGGACATGGGAGTGAAGGCCGTGCGTGTTCACCAACCAATGCGCAAAGGCCATCATCTAGGCGTATATGCTACTTGCTATTAAGTATCGCAATCAAAAGTGGATCTGGTGTGCCGCCTTAACGAGCCGCGTGATAGATGTGCTGGACAAACACGAGGGCAGACGTTATTCGAACTGCACTTTCATTACAAATGTCGAATATTTGGGGGGCGGGG